AAATTCTAAATAAGAGTAGCGTTCAAGAAGAGGCTCGAAATTCCTTCGTGATAATTGAACGAATACCTTTGCAAATTTACAATCTACTTTATGCCAGTGTCAGTTATATCACGTACCAAATCACTCGATCGAAGATCGCGCATCGAATGCCGATTCTGGTTAAACGAACGTGAACTGAGCTCATCCACGTAATCGCGTATCAACAAAAGGATTTGCAGACGTCGCGTCGAACATCCGCGAAACGTGTTCGTGTTTCACACTCGACGAAACTCGACAAGTTGTCCCGGATGTCGTTCGCGATCCGAAGGGACGATAGATACACGTCGTGATACAGGAGTCGCGTGTCAGATCAACGTGTAGAAGCGACGTTGGATAAAACCAAACAAGCCGGCGACCATAATGAAGGCTCGATCGAATTGCACGAGAGAGACAAATCGGCGGAACCGGTGTGATTCGCTTGCCGGCAAATGCAATTATCGATACACGAAACGAGCCACTGATTTCCAGTCTGGCATGTGCCATGGTAACACGTACCATTTAACGCGCGTTTGAGTGACTGGCGGAGACACCAAGTACGCATTCGCGTTCGCCCGCCAAAACGTGAATAATAATTTGAATGTTGCTCGAACTTTCAACACCTTTGGTCGTTAGCATCTGAAATTCTCATTCTAATTATATCTCATATTATATTGTGGATCTTGATACTATTACTTGATATTCTACTATAATATTGTATCGTAGAAATATAAATATGATGAGTGTTGAGTTTAAGAAACCTTGATAAATGTTGAAATATAAAAATTCTTGACGAATCTGAAATGTCTTGTCAGTGAACCTTAATTTCTTGTCTAAGTCTGTATGTTTAACATTGAAACTGGATGCATGTAGATTCACAACAATGCATTCTGAATTTGAATGACCTCGTTGTACTCTTTTCCTATTTCTCAGAAACGAGTTTTACATCTTATATCTTATAATATTTTACTGAGTGAATTTTGATAATTTCTTGTCTAAGTCTATTTAATACTAGAGCAGAAGATTTATAGATTCGCAACAGTGCATTTTGAATTTGAACGATTCTCCATCAAGTAAAAGCTGTACTCCTCGGACATAAGTTCTAGTGTTTGACTCGCGATGATTACAAAGTGAAACAACATCCTTCTACCTTCTGTATTTCACAAAAAAAAAAAACGACAATCTGCCATACTGTGCAAACATCCTCGAGTTTCGAGGTTTCGAGCAAGATGGCGACGCACAGAGTCACAGTGTGTCAGGCATTAAATATCGAAGCTGCACGTTTAAGCGGACTCAATTATGCCGGCTCAGACTGATAAATAGAGTCTCTGCCCAGAGACAAAGTCCCAGCCAGCGAACAATAACTGACCTGAACGAATTTCTACGACCTATATCCTTCCCTCCCTTCCCTCCTCAATTCGTATTTACAAAGTAATGATCATCACAGTTCCATCCAGCTGATTAAACATTATCAAAGTTCGACGCGAGGGACACGGAATATTATCATATTTAGAGAGTCTGGAGCAGAGCCAAGTAACACACAAAGACTGGTCGATCCTGGTCGTAATCGTTAGGCTGTTATCACCATTATCGGCTCGTAATCAGCTGCTCGTTCCATCCATCCTCTTGAGCCGGGAATCACCGTCGCCGATCCACCGCTAATAAACCACCGATCGTCCGATCGTCGACCGATTATACCGAGCCTGGTTCGTTCTTTCCAACAACCGTCCCTGCACAGCAAGCTCGTTGCGGCGATCCGCGAAACCGCGGAACCCGCCGATCATCGGATATTTACACTTTCCCACTCGACGAGACGCGTGCAAACGTGGGAAAGGAGGGGCGTGGACGGCGCGAATTAACGTAATGAACAACGATCGGGCCATCGTGGCCGGCCGGTTCGACGATCGTCGAAATTGATGCGATCCCGACACCGCGTTCACCTGTCAATTTCCAAAACTGCGATAATCCGTCAACGCCGGCGGAAATGCGCGTACGTTTGCCTGGGTATCGTTTCAATTCCGATCGCGTGCCGATGGGATTAATCTTTTGCCCCGATTAGAATTTCATAGAGGGCCGGTCGTCGCTGCGTTGTCTCGATTATTCCAGAGAGTGAAAGCTCCCTTATATTAATTGCAAATACTGGGATTCGGCTGGGACGAGTGTTGATTCGTGAAATTGAGCTGGGGAACTTGTGGGTTTCTTACGGGAAGCACCGTGTAAGAACGGTGACGTTTGGTATGTTTGTTGGGTTGTTGGTTTAATGGTTTGTTGAGACACAACTCGGTCCGAGATTGCATATTTCGTTTTGTAAATGTGGAATTTAAAGATTCAGAATTATGTAGTTTATGCAGGTAAGAGTTTGTAATCACTTCTGTAATCAATTACTACATAGGAGTCATAGTAATCAATAATC